TGAGTCAAGTACCATAAGGGTGTAAGCTTTCTTAGTGACTATGCACACACATATAGGGTGAGTGAGACTGAGTCAAAACTAGAAGTTTAGTTTTGGAACTAATTGTACTATATGTCTTATATCATAATGTATGATAAGCTCATCTAACTAAGGGATGGAAAGGGATGTTTTTATGTCAGCAACAGAAGCCCAAGCTCATGGCATTGTTGATCTTGTAGCGGTCGAAAATTAAAATACTGGGGATTCCGTATAAATATACGAATTCCGTTTCAAAATTTGAAATTTCCGTGTGAATAGAAATCATTCATAATCATCAACCATCAGGTTAAGATCGATCTAAGCCAACCCGCTCTATTCTATCTAGAATGAGATTCTATAGACATGCCATGCCAACCATTAAACAACTTATTAGAAACGCAAGACAGCCAATAAGAAATGTCACGAAATCTCCCGCTCTTCGAGGATGTCCTCAGCGTCGAGGAACATGTACTAGGGTGTATGTGCGACTCGTTCAGTTCAGATCATAAGTTTGAAGAAATGCAAAAATCTTTTCCAGTATCAACGACCACTACCGATGAATTAGGATAGATAGAGTGGAAGACGGCTATCTAATTGACTATTATATAAATATATAAAAATGAAGATCTATCATCTACCTAATTATGTTATGAATTTATGGTTTATATAATATAGATAATTTAGACCATCCAGGATGATTAATTATGAAATTTATTTTTTGTTCTAATCATATAGGATGATCTATATTATATTGCACTATATATGACAATCATGCCTAAATTAATATTATGATTAGTAGACTAATTTTTATTAAATTATTAAATTAGATCGTATAGTATGATCTGAAGATTATACTGGATGATCTTAGATATTTCATGGGATGACCCTTAATCGTACTAGATGAAATACCATAATTTTTCTTCTAATCATCAAGGATGATTCACAATATCATACTTGATGTTGTACAAATTTGTTCTGATCAATAGGGACTATCTTTAGGCCTTCTAGGATAATCTGGACCAATTTTGCACATCGTGCTAGATGATCCTGTGATCATCCAAGATAATATGTTGCACAAGAATTAAGTTTTTATCATTTTTTTAAGCCCCCTTTTTAAGCACGTCATTTTAGATGATCCTAAGATCATACTGGTTGATCTTTGCCTCTAGAATTAATTTTTAGTGTTTTTAAAATAGCTATATTTATGCTTTGTCAAGACACTTGGTAAGTGTCTTTGGTAGCCATTGTGTCTTCATTTTTTTTGGAGAAAACTTAGAAAGAGAAGTTGAAAGTGAGTGATGAAAGGGTGGAGTTTGAGAGGGAGAAGATCCTTGGAGGGGGTTTCAAGAGACTGTGGAGGGGAATTCACATGGTTGCTCCAGAAAGCTTGTAATTTAGAACCATTGGATTCAAGGTTCGTACTGAGGGAAGTTTTAGGAAGAAAATTATCTCTTTGGTGTCAAAGGACTTCACTACTCCACCATAGAGAGAAAGGTTGAAGTGATTTTGTAAGAGCTTCTCCTCCTGGTTGTGGGGGTTAAGGAGAGTCACTAAAATTTAGTGTAATACTAATAGGGAGCCTCTAAGGAGTGGACGTAGGTAAGGTTGGACGGAACCCCTATAAATATGTTGTGTTCTTTCTGATTTTTTTTTTTTTAAACTTTATTTTTGGATATGACTACTTGGTTAAAAATCTATGATTTATATTATGATGTATTGATTATCTATTTTTAAATGTTAAAAAAGCTTTTTTTAAAGAAAGTTTTTTAATATCCAATTAACTCCCCTCTTGGTTAGCCTTGGCACTAGTTCATAATGGCTTAACAACCCTAACTAACTTTCACCAGTCAAATATGATGTAGATGCATTTTTACCTCAGCGAATATGTGGGACAAGGCTATTGTTCTATAATTCTTAAAAAGAGCATATAAAGGCTTGTTGTTTGGATGCGAAATCTTATTTTCCATCAACACCATGCGAGAGACATAACACTTGCCTTTGATTTGTAGTGCCTAGTTCTAAGCATAATATCTTCCTTCAAATTAGACGACCCTCATGCATCTTGATGTATATAAGATAAAAAGAATCCATGAATAAGTGATGCAACTTGGTGCTTGTTCCTTTGATTATTAGATTCTAAAGAATATTTAGATGTGTCTTATCCATGCTTGTAAGTTTGTCTTAACAGTTCTAGGTAGCATGTCAAGGAATTGCATGCCAATGTGCTTAGGCCATGCAACCAGTATGCCAAGGCCTTACCTATTAGTGTGCCAAAGCCCAATCAAATATACTCATAAGTACTAAATTTATGACTTTTGGGCATCACGACAGCTTATTAGATATAGATGGGTGTATATATAAGTAAAAATGTTCTTTTTTAGCAAAATAATTTAAGTTTTTAGGCCATTTTTGAACTACCAAAGCATTCTGGATGAAATAGGCCCTTCTTGTCCATTAGATGGACCCAAACATGATGCTTAATAATCTTTCTATTAGTGAACTTATAGGACATTACTATTTTGCTATAATTCTTAACAAGAGAACATAAAGGCTTTTTTCTTCATTCTAAAACATTTGTTTCTAATCAACACCATGAGAGAGATTTCACAATTTCCTTTGATGGGATGTTCCTAATTCTTAGAACTATATGTTACTTCATATTAGATGGCGCATCTTGATGCACACAAGATAAAATTTATCGGTGAATATACGAAGCGACATGATGCTTGTGCCTTTGATTATTAATTGTGAAAGAATAAGTAGATGTTCCAAGTTACATATCATAATTCCACCTCAAATCCAGTATGTTATTGGTTGTTACATGTAAGCTTCTTTTGTATCTCACCCCTACTTGCCAACATGATGACACACTGCTTGCCAAAATAATTAGGCCTTGCTTTCTAGAGTGTTAGGCCCTACCTGCGAGTGTGTCCAGGCCTTGCTTACCCAAACCTTACATGTGAGCTATCCAAGCACTTCCAAATAGGTAGCCCATGCTTTCTACCACCTAGCATGCTAAAGCTCTACCTGCTAGTGTGCCTAGGTCGTAGATGCTAGAGTTCTTAGACCCTTCCTATTAATATGCCAAGGACTTCCAGACAGCATGACTAGGCCTAGGCTGCCAGCATGCCCATGCCATGCCTGCCAACATCCACAGACCCTCCCTTCTAGCAAGTCAAGGACCTGACATCTTACATAGGCATTGGCTTCTAGCATGCCCAAACCGTGCCTACCAGGTTGCCATGCCCATGCCTACAAATGTGCCTAGGCCCTACTTGCCTGCAGCTCAGACACTACTAGCTAGAAAGCTAAGCCCATGCCAACCACTTTGCCCAATCCTTGCCTTACAGTATGTTTTGGTTCTAGCTACTAGCGTGTCATGGCCCTGCCTGCCAGGATGACCTTGTTCTCATTGTCAGTGTGCCAAGACCCTGGGTGCTAGTGTGCCTAGGATCTATCTACCAGGTTGATAAGGCCCTAGCTGCTAGTGCTCCCAGTCCATGAGCTTGCCAACATTTCCTAGCAATTATACTTATAATTATTCCATTTAAAATTTGTGGGCTTCAGGATAGCATGCTGGGAACTAGTGGGGTTACTTATGTCACACACTAGTTTGGCTCACCCTCTACCACAAACTGAAGTATAACAGAGAAGGATTTCAACATATCAAACTCCACTCTTAACAACAGGAAGCATGTAATATTACTTACTGAACATCAACATAATTAAAACAATTACCGAGTTCTACTAAAACTTTTGAATTTTACTTATATATCAAAAGGTTTATACAGCTATTATTCAGATCTCCTTGTACTCCAAAACATTTTTACATCAAAAACAGATGATCACCTCTTTCTCGCCTAGTGTCCTATGGGCTCCTTTCCCTTACATGCAGTACAACCACTGCTAATGAGCTATTGCCCAATGAAATACACCAACAATAGACAAGAATTAATAATAAACAAATAAGAAATGCTTAACAATGTTAACATATTAAAATGTCATATTGAGCCTGAAAGTGCCTAACCGTATTATTTATCTTACAAAAATTATTCCACACAAAATAAACTAGAATACATGACCATAAACATAATCAAGAAGAAGTGCAATAAGAAAACATTTACTAATTCTTATAATCTTGTTTAGGTATCTCACCTCGTTCTCTAGGGAAGTCGGGTCAATTCGTTCTCCTAAAGTACCCTTGCCTCCTTTCCTTTTATATACAATCTAAATCATGATTGATGACATTCAAATTTACATTCAAATAACATTATAATAATTTATATGAAAATCTTATAAGTTTACCTCAAAGAAGTTTTTCTTCATTCACCCCAATGTGACCTCTCTTCTCCTAAGTCTCCTTTCTTCACTTTCCCTCCCAATTACACCAACTTAGCCTGCATCAATTTCCACCACTCTTCTGTACAACCAGCTTCAGCATTTTATTGAATTCCAACAACTAGATTTCAGAAATTTATTATCTGAAATCCTCCTTCAAAGCATCTCACAGCAGCAACCTCAACAAGTGGCTCCCTCTACTCAGCTTGAAGCTGGCTTCCGATGTCCAAGGAGGGACGGGTGGGGAAAAGAAGCTAATGTCTCCACATAATAAATCACATTATAATAACCCTTTTAATTTCACTAAACCTTCTCAGTCATTCTCAGCCATAGGATTTCCATCAGCTTCATGCATGTTAGTTTAAGTGGAATTGCTACAGTAATTGAAGTACATGCTATTAAATAATTCCCTAATACTTAGCCTTTAATCTAGCTATCATTTAAACCATAAACTATAACTAAATACAATCAATTAAACAATTAATTTCATAATTTAATAAAAAAATGCTTGGAATTCAAGTAAACTGTATATAAAAATAAGCTCACATTTAGAGGAAGTTGATGCTTACATTATTTTAAATATATTTGAGAGCCTTATAATTCACCCCTAATTTTTGTAAATTTCGTCCTCGAAATTCAGTGCCTTAGTTGTCAAATAGTTGAGGAAACTTAAATTTAATATCTTCTTCTCTCTCCCATGTTGCCTCTTTTTCTAGTCTGTATTTCCATTTTACTTTAACATAAGAAATCTGACGATTTCTGATCTGTTTACTATCAAAATCTACTATTCTTTCGGGTTCTTCCGTATAAGTCAAATTCTTCTGTAGTTCAATATCATCATGTGAGATTCGTTGATGGGCATCAGTAACCCATTTCCTTAGCAGTGACACATGAAAAACGTTATGTATATCTGACATGTCAGTTGGAAGAACAAGTCTATAAGCAACTTTTCTAATTCTTTCAACAATTTCAAAAGGTCCAATAAACCTAGGACTCAATTTGCCTCCCTTACCAAATCTAGCTATACTCTTCATAGGCTTAATCTTCAAGAATACAAAGTCACCCACGTCAAACTCTACTGCTCTGTACTTGGGGTCATAATACTTTTGTTGGCGATCCTGAGCAGCTTTTAATCTGTCTCAAATTAATCTGATTTTCTCTGTTGCTTCCTCCACCAATTCTGGGCCCATTAGTTGTCTTTCTTCTACCTCAACCTGAGTTAAGGGGGTTCTGCACTTTCTACCATAAAGTGCTTCATATGGTGTCATTTGTATACTGGATTGGTAACTATTGTTGTAGGCAAATTCTATCAATGGTATGTGATATTCCCAGCTTCCTTTGAAATCCAAAACACATAATCTCAACAGGTCTTCCAATACCTGAATGGTTCTTTCAGATTGGTCATCTGTTTGATGATGAAAAGCTGTACTGAAATGTAGATTTGTACTCAAGCTTTCTTGAATATTCTTCCAAAGCCTCGAGGTAAATCGACCATCTCTATCTGAGACAATGACTTTTGGAATACCATGTAATCTAACAATTTCTTTTACATATAGACGTGCTAATTTGTCTACTGAATCAGTTTGCTTAATAGGTAAAAAGTGAGCTGATTTAGTTAATCTATCAATAATGACCCAAATACTATCATGCCCCTGTCTGGATCTGGGAAATCCCATCACAAAATCCATTGTAATTTCTTCCCACTTCCACTCAGGGATAGGTAGTGATTGTAGTAGTCCACTAGGTCTTTGATGTTTAGCTTTCACAATTTGACATGCTTCACACTTAGCTACATACTCAGCAACATCTTTCTTCATACCTGGCCACCAGAATATTACCTTCAAGTCTTTATACATCTTGGTACTACCCGGACAAATAGTATAGCCAGAATGATGAGCTTCTTGCAAAATTTCTTTTCTCAACTCCTGATCACTGGGTACCCACTAGGGGTGTAAGTGAGCCGAGCCGGCTCGTGAGCCGGCTCG